ATTCTATGATTCTATGATTCTATGAATGGCCTCCTAATGATCTTGGATAGGGTCTCTACAACTTCTACTAATAATATTTTGATGATTTTGTAAGAAAATAGCTTGAGGTAGTTCTTTAAGTTTTTTTATGCACTGAAACAGCTTTCTATTGCTAGATATTGCATTCACTTCCTTTGATATCTTTAATTTTTCAGCACTACTAAATGGAATTGAATCTGTAGTCACTCAAGCTTCATTTTCATAAAATGGAAAATAGGCACGAGTTTTCCCTTTACCTTTGTGAATCTAGTGATTATCTGACCAACTGGATTAGTTTCAAAATGCTGAAGAGGAAGGTGCAATACATTGTCTAACAGCTGATGATGCAACGCCCGAGAAGCAGACAGGGATCCCCTGGTGAGCACGTAAGCACCGCAGCAAACGAGAAGACCTAGAGAATGGATAAATTAAAAGACAGTATGAATGGTTGGGGAGGAAAAGGAGATGGAGCTTGTTTCTGTCACTGTTTTCTACCACAACGAGCAATCCAACAGTTGCACTTCATATTTTAGTTTTACAAATGTACATATTTGTATTTTGTTGATACGTCTTACTACTTCATAAGTACGTTTTTCATGCAATTAAGTCTCTCGTGCTAGCATGCCACTACACATCAACACTGATTTCCTTCCTCACTGAGATACCAACATAATTGCATTAGGTTACACTTCAATGTTCCAAGAATTCACAGAAGTATCATAAAATTAAATAGTATTTTCTTCTACATGTCTGTATATCTCTTCTCTCCCCACGTTAAACTATTATACTGTGTGGCATACAATTCTGTTTATGAAACAACCAGCATTATTTCTTTACTAATACATATTCAGGCACATCCAACTTGGCAGATGGTTAGAAAACAGTCATAAAAGCTCTTCCTTGCCTTGTATGAATCCCAGAAGCCCATAGATACGAAGTTTATAGATTTGTGATTGTTTCCATTCTGTGAAATCAGTAACTTTTGCTGGTTTTGCAGTCCAGGTGCTAAGCCATAGATTTTGTCCAATGGCTAGTACATTTTGTCCTAAATAAGCAGCTATGGTTAGCCACATCCACTGCCAGCCAAAGGCTTGGAGGTATTTCAAAACAACGGACGTTTTAATCTAAATATATTAAAAAAAGAGAATATATAAAAAAGGACTTGTAAAATCATTACTAAGGCACATACACATTACATAATGTGAATTGGATACATTAAATTCAGAATAAATCTAAAGAATTTCTTAATTAAATCTGATAACTTAGGTATATAATATCCTACTGTAAAAAGGTTCCCTCTCTCCCTACATCCTGCTCTTTAATGATACATATCATAGGCGATCTTACTTCTGACACTTTCCAGTGTAGGTCTTAAAAAAATCTTACATATGTAGATTATACAAAACAAACAAACCAAAAACCCAACCAACCAACCAATCAAGAGTGCAATTCCTGGGCAGTTTGCATGAAGCAAATCTTACTCTATTCATTAGTGGAACTAGAAACTTTAGAACTGCCACTCTGGGCTACTGAAGCCAAGGAAATTAGCGTCAGCAGGAGAAAGTTCTCCTTGGTGTAGATGAGGACTAATGGGACCAAACTCAGCTAGGCCACTTGAAAGGTAGAACTGGAAGGAGCAGAATAATGACAGATTCTTGGATTTCATTATAGGGTTTGGAGTGAAATGAGCTCTAGTTGGCACAAACTCTTCTGTCTCTTCTGCAAACTAATTTTTTTTAAAGCATCTATTTCTACCATCTTGCTAGAAACCTCTTCCCCCCTCCATCCCTCTCCTTATCTTAATTAAACTACAGCTTACCAGGAAGCTTTGACCTTCTCCACACTCTTTTTCACCCCTTCTTTTCCCTCTACCTAGCAACTGGCAGATTTTTTTAATAGAGACTACAGAAAGTGTGCTTCTAGCATAAAACAATACTGGAGCAGTATTACCATGCAAAATTTCTCTGCTCTAGCATACAGCTATTTAAACTTCAGGACAGATAGAATGTTTTTCTAAGAGAGGTAAAAGTTTTTTTCATTATCTTCTTTCTGAAATATGTAAAACAAACTGGACCTAGATATAATACGAAAATACAGCCAGTAGCATATCATCAAAATAGAAAATCTCAGACTACATACTTAAAATTTGGTAAAAACCTGTAAGATTTATTTTAAATTCAGTAATGAGATGTCAGGAAACCTTAACAAGAAACAGAAAAATGCAACAGCAAAATAATACATTTTTATAAAAACAAATGTCAAACCTTTTTCTATTAGTCATACTTACACCACCAGTGGCAACTTTTTCTTTATTGTTAGTGAATATTTTCCATTGATCAAAGGAAGAACTGCAAACAAGAAACACTTTCAAATCTTGTGAATCATCATACAAAGAATATATCCATTTATTTCTAAGCAAAAACGGATACTATAAAATCTTGTCAGTTAAAGATGTAAGACTGCCCTTTTCAGAGTCATATTAAGTGTGGTGCAACTTGGGTCTCAGCCCTTGTCTGGGCCTAGGATTAGGCATTACTATTTGACACATCCAATTCTACCACTTCTGGACCAGGGTGGTTAAGCTTAAGTGTCCTGCATTGTCTGAACTTGCTCCATGGAGTCTTTTCTACTTCATCTTTGCACTATCTTCTACCACTGCAAATGTATCACTACAGTTCTTTACAACTTGATCTAGGAGGTCATTCAACTATTTGAAAGCCCAGAAGTTTTCTTAATGGTGGAAAAAAATAAATTAATGCTGCAGGGGAAAAAACAAAGAGCATAAACAACTTGTCATTACACCAAGAAGTCAAATTGCTGCCCGGGAATTGCGGGTGCATCCACATCAGTGATTTCAATTGGTCTTCT